TTCGGGTTGGATAGTGAGAAACCCATGCCCACCCATTACCCACAATATTCGGGTTCGGATTTTACCCGTACCCACTAAATGTCCTTCGGGTTCGGGTTTTACCCTACCCGATTAGGCCGGATTCGGGCGGATATCCACGGTTACGGATATTTTTGCCATCCCTACTCTCCTGGAAAGTCTTTTATCTATTCCTCTTTAATCTTTAACGGACGATTTCTATCTCGTTTTAAGTCGAAATTTAATTTTTTTTTTTGCACAAATAAATCAGATTAAATGTGCTCTTTAAAATGATATCCACTTTGATATATTTTTAGTACAAAAAAATTGAATAATTTTTTACCAGTCATTACCATATGGTATGCTCCTATTTAATACCATATGGTAAGAAAGCGTACCATGATGGTATGGACATACCAATATAGTAAGAAGGTTGAATACATGATAATAGGAGTATACTAACTGTCATTTACGACTTTCATCATTGTTTACTATAAGTTACCACCCACATACCATAGTGGTAAAGTATGGTAACTTTTGATACAGTATTTTTTCATCCAGAAATTTATAGATCCAATAGATCATGATGAACTCGTTCCTTTTGAGCAAACGTTTTCAAAAATGACTTAAAAACGAAGAAGTTACCATATGGTATGTAGTTGGTAAAAAAAATTTTCTCGAAATATATTGAAAATTGATCTCATTTTGTAGATCACAACAAACTCGCTCCATCTGTGCAAAAAAATTGAAATCCGAGTTAGAACGAAGAAGATAAGAGCCGATTAAGAAAACTAGAGAAAATAAAATACTTTTAATTGACAACCCTTAGATCTGAATTTTCTGGACCCACTTAGATCTAAAGTCAAGATTTAGTTACTCATAGGTCAGTAACCAATGGTTACTGACCCTATCCTAAGCCCAAATCGCCGAACAAGAATCGGCTAGTGCGAGATCTGGAAACCCTCTTATTGATGCTTTTTTTTCATTTAGTTGGTAATTAATAGTTATTAGATAAATATTTTATTTAATTAATTATATAAAAATTCGAAATTAGGGATGATGTGGAGTTTAGGAATTTTTTAAATTTATTTATGTTGACTGGATGGTGACGTGGCGTGTTGACCGTTAGTCAACGCGTTTGGTTGTTCAAGATAACGGTCAAATTCCGGATTTGGCCAATTTCGTAACTTTGATGCGTAGTTGAGGTCACGAATTATAGATCAAAAAGATTGGTCAGAATATTTAATATGTGGAAAGTTCGGACCATACAACTATATTTACCCTTATATTTACTTATTATAATTGTCCTTTTTTTACATATACCTAATAGAGCACTTCTACTATGCTATATAGTATTGGTGCTTTAATGTACAAGTTGAAGTTGTACCATAACATTAAATGTACAAGTTTAGGTTGTACCATAAAGGAATTTGTATCATTATGTTATGGTACAACTTTACAACTTGAAGTTGTACCATCACATAAAGTACAAGTTTAAGTTGTACCATAAAAGAATTTGTACAAAAAGTATAGGTACAATCTGAAGTTGTACCATAACATTAAATGTACAATTTCAAGTTGTACCATAAAGGTAAAAACCTATAGCACCAATGCTATATAGCATTGTAAAATTCCTCATACCTAATATACCTATTACAAGGTGCTACTAGAGGGGAGGGGGAAGGGAAAAATAAGCATCGTCCCTGAAATTCGAACTTGGAGGCTCCAGACTGAAAATCAACAATACGACTACTCGGTCATGATCTCATTCGCAACTGTCTCTTTCTTTTTAAATGTTTGATTAAAAAAAATGAGTTGCTATTATTTGGAAAACGTTATTATCGGAAATTGAGTGCTTGGTTTGTTGGGCTCTCGGATTCCTCCAAATCGATCAAGTGGTGGGAAAAGGAACGCAATCTCACATGAAGGCGTATATATGTCCTCATCAAATATTTTTGATTCCAGATGACAACCTACTAAGCAGCTTGTAATCAAACAACCTCTCTTAATATATACCTCTAAACTCTGTATATATGATGACTTCTATAATACATCAATATATATATATATATGTATATGTGGTAACATATATAGTTTTGTTTACGGTACACCTATTTTTTTTATAAAAAATGTATCCGCCTTATCATGATTTGGAAGCCTAGCAAAGTTGTGAATATGGAATATGTGGTAATCCTAGTGATGTGACCCTATATCGATATTTAATTAACCTTAATCCGTTGTAAAATACTATATCCTAACATCTAATACACAAATTACATACCCTAATTCTCGAAAACCAAAGTACCAAACTTATTGTTGACGTAACTTGAAATGGACTATCTGGCTACGACTGAAAGTCACATTGGGTCTTTGTTCATTCTTGTTCTGGGTCTGGTTTGTAACCGCTTTTCCTTTATCAGATTTTTTTTTGACAACCTGATTTCATTACGAAATAGGAATGTGTTACAAAGTTTGGGCCAAGCCCCGGAAAGAAGAAGACAAAACATGAGAAAATGGAGAGCCCAAACAAACCCAACAACAAGACCCACTGCAAAAAGAAAGAAACGAAAAACCAAACACCCTACAAGTCATCACAAGCCCAACAAAAGGGCAAAAGCCTAGCCCAACAGCAAACAACAAAAAAACCCAACCCCAAAGAAACCCTAAAACGAAAACAACACCAAGCCAAGAGACAACAAACCAAACCAGCCGCCCAGAAGCCGCCGCCAAACAACAAGCCGCACCACCACCCACCGCCAGCAGGAGACACCACCACCGTCCACCAAACCCCCAACATCGCAAACCAAATCAAAATCAACAAACACCACCGCCAGCAAACCAGAACCCCGCCGACAACCAACACCAAACGCGAAGCAAAAACCAAGAGTCACGGAAGAAAAAGAGCCCACAAACAACGGAGAACACCACCCAAGCACAACCGGACCAACCACCACAAACCCGCCGCCAGAGAACACCCAGCAAAGACATCCGCCACTAGCGCCGCCCAACACCACCGAAGCCTCACCACCACAAGAAAAAGAAAACAGAGCATCCAAATCTCACAGAGAAGTCATCATCCCTACAACCGACCAGATAACAGTAGAACCACAGGCCACAGGCCAAACCATCGAATCACTCGCCATTAAGAGTGAAGCAAGGAGGAAGGCTCCAAAAGTCAAAAGGAAAGTTGTAAATTGCACAAGCAATCCCCTTTGCACACCGGACCGACCTCAAGACCCGACAACGGATCTGAAGTGTGGAGGAGGAAACATCTCCAAAGAAAAGTTCCTTAGCAAAATCCACAAGGAAAGTAGCGAAATTGAACTGGAAAACCCCATCAAAGGGTTGGAAAGGTAGCAACATAAAGGAAAAGAAGAACGATAATAAAAGAGGGCAAAGGGTTGCCGCCGGTCACCAAGAGGTGAAGCCGGCGGCCACCCCACAGGAGAATGGAAAAGGAGAAGTTAGAGAGATGTTAGAGAATTTGAAATAGAGAGAGAAGGGTGCACCAAACCTTTTCACTTTTCCTTTATCAGATTGAATAAGGGTTAGATCACATGGAGAAGTACTATAAATGCTTCTCATACTCCTCAATCCTCTGTAATCTGTATCTCCACGAAGTATAGTGAAACTGGCTCTCTCCTGCCCGTGAACTAGTTAACACACTTGTGTTAGTGAACCAAGTAAATCTGTGTATTGTGTTCGTTCTTGCTTTTGTTTTCTTCTTTGTCGAATCCTCCGATTTTCCAATTCGTAGAAAAATACTTGTGACACCTATGATCAAATTGATCAAAGAGAATGATCGAAATTCAAATTCGTCTAGGTATATTAAGGTATATATATTTCTTTATAATGGCGAAGTATATTGAAGTATTTCCAATGACTAGATTGCGAGCAATCTCGAATACTCCAGTAACAACGGCTTTCAATATAAATCTATATACAGATCCCCAAAGAAGCAAACACTTGCAGTTAATATATAATTTCTCAGTTAATCTTGGAATGAGTTTAGTGTTGCTTGGGTTCTTGTCCGGCTCAATCTCTAAACATTGATATTCATCAGAATTAAGAGTTAAAAACGAGTACTCGATATGAACGTATGATAATTAATTAATTAAAGAAGAAGCTAGCTAATAAGATGAAGGGTTATAGGTATTATATGCCCCTGTACTATGCACATTTATCAAACATGCCCCTGTACTATTTTTATTATCGAACGTACCCCTATACTACAAATCCGTCATCAAACGTGCCCCTCCGTTATAATTACCGGCTGAAAACCGTTAACCGGGATCAGACCACGGTTTGGGCGACTTGATAGAATAAGAAGTGCCGAAAATGCCCCTTTATCTAAAACATGTTTAGTTTCTCTCCAGTTCTGAGTAGAGAACTCAAAACATCTCATTGAACCCTTATTCCCGTTCTGTTCACGTCCGCCTATTTTCCTCCCGATTCTATTGCCGCGATCCATCTTGTTGTCTTCCACCGACGGCGGCGAATTCAGCTACCTATTTTATTATCCCCTGCATTCTCCCCTTTTCATCTTCTCCACTTTTTTAATAAATCATTGTGGGATCCAAAACCCTATTTTTTTCATTCCAACCTGTAGAAGACGACATCCTAAGGTAAGTTGTTGCTTTTAAAGTTCATTGTTTTTTTTAAGATAAGGGTGATATAGGTTACTTTTTTGTTATTAGGTACTACTGAAGTGATTCGAACTTGGTACCTCCAGGTTCATGGCTAGTGGTATTACCACTAGACCAATCCCTTGTTCGTTTAAAGTTCATTGTTTTTACCTGTAGAAGAAGAAGACAAGCTAGGGCCTAGGAAATTGATTATTGATTTTGTTTTGTTACATATTTTAGTTTAGTTGTGACCTGTAGCCGTAGGTAAGCTTTACTTTGATTTTTCCCTATGCATACTTAATTTATTATTTCATGTTGGTAATGGTGGGTATGTAATCTAATATTTATATAGTTGAAAACCTGTCTGTAGGGTCAAGAATGGATAATCCCAATCCCACAATAATTTTTCATGTCAGAGGCAAGTTTGCAAAGGCTGGCGGTGATGTAATATACGAAGGAGGTGAAGAATTGTCCTATTCTAAACTTGATCCCGATGTAATCAGCACTTGGGATCTAGCCGAAGTGGTAAAAGAGGAAGCAAATATGGTTGCTGATTTTCAGATGTATTTCAGAACGTGCACTGGTCATGGGGATGAGGCTTGGAGAGTTTTATGTGATGATAGGGCTGTTATAGAGTTTCTTAACCAATATAAGGGCAAGGATGAATACCATGTCTACATTAAACAATCTTTGTCTACAGAAGGAGAGAAACATGATGGTGATTTTAATGATAGAGTGACAACAACAGATGGAGGAACTAATGAAAATCAAGATGGACAAGCAGCTAAACAGGTTGGAGATAATGTGACAACACCACAGTTTGAAGAGGATGTTTGGTGTGATGAAGAAACAGATGATTCAAATAGTGAGTTTGAGGTGCATCCGGATTGGGTTAGTGATAATGAAGTTGAAGATCGTGAGGAAATTGCTGCCAATCTAAAGAAAGCGAAAGAAAACTTGAAGAAAGGAATACTTACCACGTATCACTCTGATGACGAGATGGACAGAAGACAAGAAATAATTGTCAAGGAGGGTGGCTTTGACTCTGATGACATTGGGAGTCACGATGAAACCGATGGTGAAGATGAACTGGCTGATCATGACGTACGTAGAAAAAGCAATTTTCCTAAGTTCAATCCGAACTTGGGCACACCATTCTTTGAGGTTGGTATGATTTTCAACAACATGGATGAGGATAAGGAAGCAATTACTAAGTATTCATTGAATGCCAAGAAAGATCTTAGAGTTAAGAAGTGTGATACAACAAGGGTTAGAATGATATGCACTTATCCTGGTTGTCCATTTCTCCTTTTTGTTTCATGGAGTAAAGTAGCTAATGCTTTTCAAATCAAAACATTGAAGCAGCATAGATGTGGAGTGCATTTTAAGTGTAGAAAATTGTCTCCGCTTGTGATTGCAAAGAAATACAATAGGAGGATAAGAATGGACCCACGATGGAAGTTGAACGACATGGTCGAGACTGTAAGAGAAGAGCTAGGATATGCTGTAGATGTGAACAAGTGTTCACGGGCCAAGAGACTAGTTTTGCACTTAAATGAAGGGTGTTACAGAGACGAGTACGCGATCTTGTGGACTTATGCAGAAGAGATTCGGAAAGCCAATGCCAACTCAACTGTTCGCATCATGGTAAACAGGGACAACTCTGAAGGAAAGCCGAAGTTTCAACGCATGTATGTATGTTTTGGTGCCATGAAAAAAGGATTTTTAACCGGATGTAGGAATAGGCATGTCAAATGGGTCTTAGGGTATGAGTTTTACCCAAACCCAATTGAATTTGGGTCAAATCAGGTTTTGGGGTTTTCTGTTTTGGAGCAGACCTATACCCATCCAATTAAATTGGGTCCAAGATAGGCCCAGAAAATTAATTAAAAAAAACAAAAAAAATCTCTACAGAACCCAAACGGGTCTCTTCATCTTCGACCTAATACCCTTAACGAATTGCTTCTCCACCATCGTATCCCGCCGCCGCCCGCCTGCATCCGATTCTAGATCAGTGACCATCAGCCCCGAAGACGCCGCCGGCCTGAAATCCCCGACCGACCAACGATTTACTCTTAGACTCGCTTCCCGCGCCGCCAGCTCCTCAGTTGCATAAAGAGGATTCTGCAGGTCGTAAGCGCGAAGTTGCTAACAAGCAGCCACCGACTGGAACTCGCCGGATCGACGCTTTCTTTGCTAAATCAGCGCTTGAGAATCGCCGGTAGATAGCTGATCTTTACCCAGATCTCTATTGTTGCTACCCAAATGTTGGATGCTCATAGACAGCCTTCCTGTTTGAAGGGGCGGCATAGCTTAAACATCCATCCAAGCTTCTGTTAGAAGGGCGTCGACTACTGGTGCTTGGTCTAGAACTGAAGGGGGGTTCAGGTTCTACTACTTGGATCTGCACCTTCTTTGTTTCCTGCTGGGGCATCTCATGTAAGGTAAGAACACAAAGACGGATGGTCAAGCCAAGAAACTGTAACACCCTCCAAACTTACCTTTCACCCTCACTCTCTCAATTCCCTGCTTCTCTTGCCAAGTTCGAAACTTTTTCCATGGCTTATAAGTTTTTTCAGTTTCGGATGTTTTTCTATGTTGGAGACTCCACTAGCTACTTGATTCAATTTTGTCATATGGGTTCGGGCTATGGTCAGAAAAAAAGGTGCTTGCTTTTTTGGATCACAAGCAATTCCCTTATCAGGTTCCAGGCTGAAATTCTCATGGGGGAATTGTGGTCCTTATGTTATGAATTGATGGAATTGTGGTTCCAGGGCAATGGAAGGGAGGAGTAGTAGCCGATTCGTGTTTAGGGTTCTAAAGCAAGATGAATTAATCAGATGATCCTGAGATGCATTCTAACTCCCAATTTTTGAAGTACTAGTTCAGCAGTAATGCTTAGAAGCATCTCATTTTCAAATCATGTTTTTGGATTTGTTTTGTAATTAAGTTCATGTTCATCGACGTTGGGTTTCTATTATTTGCAAATGAAGTATGCTAGTTATCTTAATACATGCTTTGTGTATGTGTGTCATGTGTGCAGTGGGTGATAGAAGTAGCTGTAATTATATAGTGGACGTGGTTTTGTAATTGTGAGAATTCGATTCAGCAGTAGCAGAGAGGACTCGAGGTGGGTTTATTTTCCAATTTCAAATCTTGCTTATGTGTACTCTTCTGTATCTGTTTCTTGTACACAGGACCAACTGCAACTCTGTTGTACACTGCATTAACTTGTGCATTGTCCTTTTTTCCCAACAACAGCTCAATGATCTGTTTCTGAAATTGTCATCCACTGAGGGAACTCTTGGTGTCTTTGGGCTTGTTTTCCAGCAGAGAAGGAATTGGCTGGTCTTAGAACTGAAAGGAAGATAGTGAGTAAAGTTTTTGTAGAGGAGAAGGGGAGACTTACTAAGCTGCTCGAGGATCAAGGTAACTTCTAAAACTATGGTTGGATGAGTGAAAATGGAGGGTGATCAACTGATATGGAATGAGCAGCAGCAGCTGTAATTGCTAAGCTATATGGTGTGTGTGTGTTTGCAGGCAGAAGAGGGACAGGGGGAAAGGCAACGAGATCATTAACTACATGCTGTAATTTTACTTGTTTTCCCCTTCTGAACGTGAACATGAACCATGAGTTGGTATTTTTTGTTTTCTACCATTGAGAATGTTTATGGGAGACTAAGACTTAGAAATATTATTTGGGTCTGTTTTGTAATATGCAAGACTTTTAACTTACCAAAATCTGACTTATACCCAAATGGACCCATTTGGGTCGGCCCAAATATACAGGCCCATTTTGGACCCAATTTAAACCCAACCCAACCCAAAAAAGTAAAAAGAAATTTGGATCCATTTGGGTCCAAACCCAATGCCCATATGGGTCAAGGTATTTGGGTCAAAAGACCCAATAGGCCTGCCCATTGACAAGCCTATGTAGGAAGGTTATTGCTTTAGACGGTTGTTTCCTGAAGGGTTTATGCAAAGGAGAGTTGCTTGCTGCAGTAGGAAGGGATGCAAATGATCAAATGTATCCGATTGCATGGGCCGTTGTTGAGGTTGAGTCAAGAAGTTCATGGGATTGGTTCATAAAAGAATTAAGAGATGATTTGTGCATTGATGAAGGGATTGGATGGTGCTTTAGTTCTGACCAAATGAAGGTATTAGTTATTATTTATTTTCACTCACTCAATACACGACAATTTTATTGTCTTTTAACCACTTTGTTTCTCACAGTATTGTTAGAAGTGCTGACTTGCTTTGTTTTTCTTTATTTGATTAGTAAATCTCTCCAAGCATTATGAGGCCAATGCAGATGAAAGCCAAGCATGCCACATTACTCATAATGGGAAACATGGGTATGAAGTCCGACACCATAATGAGAGGTTTACAGTTTCAGTTCCTAATCAGACTTGTTCCTGTAGAATGTGGGAGCTTACTGGAATCCCTTGTGCCATGCTATCACTTGCTTAGCCTATGAAGGACAGGAACCTGAAAAGTACATATATCACGTTGGTTCACAACACAAAAATGGAGTGAGATATATGCAAACGTGTTAGAACCAATGGATGGACCGAGGACATGGATTCGAAGTGAATATGAGGCCATCATCCCACCTGATTTTAGAGTCATGCCTGGGAGACCAAAGAAGAAGAGAGTAAGGAGCGCGGAGGAAAGGGAAGACAAGAAGATGCCGAGAAAGAAGCGTGACTACACTTCTAAGGAGCTGTTAGTTCGAGATAAAAAGGATCCAGATAAACTTGGTAGAAACGGAATGGTAATTCATTGCACAAACTGTCAAGCAAATGGACACAATTCCCGGACGTGTAAGGAGCCAAAGAAACCAAAGCCAACTAAGGTATGCAATGATTTATAGCAAACAAAAACCTGTTGTTTGTGACTTAAGCTTGTATATTAAGGGGCTGTTTGTGTTTGTTTAGAGTGTTGGTGGAGCAAGCAGTACCAGGACGCCAGCAGCAAAGAAGAAAGGGTCATTTGTGGGTGGAGGGTCATATAACAATACTAACAAAAGCTTTGGAGTTCTGAACGTAAGAATACTTATTATCTATCTATTACAATGTTTATTGACTATTAATGATTCATTAATCTGTTTGTGATCATATTGCAGCCTGACTTGATCGGGAAGAGGGCGCTTCAATGCGCCGAACAAAGGCAACAACATGGGGAAAGCAATGTTGGCGGCACGCAAGAAAGCACAACCACCACTTAACTAGTTTAAGTTATTTTGCTAATAAAGTACAGGAGTTCACTCCTATTTTGAATCCTCTTATGGTTAATTAGCATGAGTGGCCAACAACCTACCATTGAAATAGTTTTTTCTTTTTGCAAATGATGTACTGATTCTTGGTTGTTGCTGTTATTTTGTTGAGATGGAACAATATATAAAAGTTGTTCGTTTGCTATTAATGCTTTGTCAATAGCCATTATACAATTCCATTAGAGAGCTGTTCTTGTCCAGTAGTGGGAGGCTCTGTTCAAATAACCTAAAAATATAGACGCAAAATCGTGGTTCTTGTCCAGGTGTCGTTAGCTAGCATTTGAGAGGTTGTTCAAGTAAAATAATTAAGGGCATTTTGGACATTTTAAGTCGCCCAAACCGTGGTCTGGTTACGGTGAACAGTTTTCAGCCGGTAATTATAACGGAGGGGCACGTTTGATGACGGATTTGAAGTATAGGGGTACGTTTGATAATAAAAATAGTACAGGGACATATTTGATAAAAGTGCATAGTACAGGGGCATATAGTACCTATAACCCTAAGATTTAATCCTTAGAATCTTGTTAAGCTAAGCCGCCGCTTATCCTCCCTATAAATAGTTTCCTTAAGCACTTAACCCGATCCAAGGTCGATGATCGTCACAAGATATACTATTAACTTTCTTTGCAATACTTGTGCCTGGAGTATTGCTAGTTACCAATCCAAGTTAATATATATAAACTTAAAGCCATTTTACTGTTGCCTAAGAGTAATGCTAATTTGTACTACTGTCACCTAAACTATTCTTAGGTTTTGATTACAGTAGAGCACATGTTTATTTGATAGAAGAAATTCGTGAACCAATTACAAAGTTATTTTGGTTTTATGATTGATCAATTATACATTGAACTTCAAATCCCGCTATGATATAATCAGTTCCCTGGTTGAATACTTTGTAAAAAAATAATATTATGAAAAACAAAACATTTATAAACTAAATAATGCCATAATGATTTTTGTTACTTCCTTAGTTGTCCTTTTATCTCTCATTCTTTATTTACATCTCTGCCTTCTTTGTCTACTCTAATTAGTAAATTATATTTAAATATGTCTTTGCATTTACAATTATAAATGGTTATTTAAATAATTCAGCAATGGGTTTATCATAAGTAACAATTGAACCATAAATTACTCACTTTTTAGTTCATCGTCCAATCCAATTTGAAAAACAAACTTTTATTTACTTAATAGTACGCGTTTTAAGCTGAGTTTCACTTTTATTCCCTTTAATAACACGAAGGCAAGTTGACCAGTCCGTCACGAAGTGCGGTCCTAACCTAGTAGTATCTAAAGAAAAAAGAGCAATGGAAATTAGTAAGGCTATATTTTCCCTCCTCCTCTTGGTTGTTGTTTGTGCTTTTGCGTCCCCGGAGCCTTTGGATGTAGCTTTTCACGAGAACAACAATCGACAGATGATCACCACCATCACGACCAGGAAGTTGTTGTCTTATTCTACAGGCAAGCTCTCTCTCTAATCTTATCTTGAGATATTAGGACGAAATTGTTTTTAAGATGCTCGATTAATGTCGAAGTTTTGAATGATTGATGATATTGAATTATGATAACACCAATATTAAGAGTTGATTTAAAAATAAAAGTACACGATTGATGTGTACAACTCAGATGAGAGTCACGTGAAGAAATGGTAAAACAATTCGTTCTCGTATCACTCGTATCAACGTGAGGGTTATGATGATGGTTTATGACAAGTGTTTGTTCACTTACATCCGATGTGCATACAGAATATGCTGATTTATATCTTGTTCATTTTATTTTTATTTGTATGCAGCTTTCCACAATAAAAATCAACATGGGATTACCACCGGCACCGCCAGAAAACTACTTCTTGTTTGGGGCAAGTTTTTTCTTATTTCATATGTATGACTGACTTTTGAACCCCTGTTTGGGGCAAGTTTCTTTGTTAAGAAAAACCCTGTCTTCGAGAAAAATAAGGTTTCCCTTAATAACAAATTAAAAGAGCACTAAAATTAGGGAGTATCCGCTGCATACCCTTATGTTCAGTAAACTTGCACAACACTTCATTTACCATTTATGGAAGGTTTCTATTTTTCCTAATTAATTTTAGTGGGTTATATATATTCTATCTTAAGATGTAATTTGAATTTTTACAGATAAATCAAATTCATTGTACTCTTCAAAACGACGTCCAGTTTTATATATTTTGGAACAATTGTTTTTTTGGAGATCATGGTATGCTTGGTAGTACATAAAATTATATCATGTGGTATTGATATGTATGATGATAAGATTAACGGGTCGTTTGCTTGAGGGTTTTGGTGATGGATTTGGTCATGGAAATCTATCCATCATGGACTTTAACGGAAATCCATCGTTTGCCTTAGGGAATTAGGGAGATGGAATTTGTAGGTCCCGCCACTTTTGGGGTTCCAAATCCGTGGACCCCACGGACTTGGAAGTTCCACCTCTTGAGGTGGGATTTGGGTGATGGATTAAAATCCATGATGGTAAATTACCTTTCTACCCTTACTTATTATTTTAATTACAAAGTTGCCCTACTTTAATTCAATGGTCATGCAAAATTATAAACTTTTATAATGTCGTATTTTATATATATGAGAATTTTTCATTTCGTTTTGTAATATCATAGTTTATTTAAATATGAATGTATATGTGATTTGTTAGATTCAACTATAAACAGCTTATGCTCGTCTTGTGCATTATTGTTTGATCGATTGTCGGATTCCAAAATCGGGGAGTTAGCAAGAAGTTGATGAGTTGTAGCAATAAAGCGAGCAATTGGTTGCAATTGATACATAATATTGCGTACATTATTAGATGAGTTGTTAATTAGTGCCAAACTATAATACATTTCTATATTTGTAGTTGAATTATTAGTCCACATAGTGGTAAAGAGTTTAAAATTTCATTGTATGCGTTGGATTTTTTAATGAAATTTATAGATTATAATATAGAAATATAATTAGATAAGATAAGGGTAACAAGGTAATTTGAATTTCATATCCACAAATCTATTCAAACAAAATCTATAATCAAATCCAACAAGCAAACAATAGACTTGGTCAAATCCATAATGCCACCAAATCCATCATATATCCATGGTTTTCCAAAACCCAAGTTTTACCAAAACCCTCATTTTTCAAATCCATGAAGCAAACGATCCATAATTGTGCTTTTCGACGTCTACTTTGGTACACTTTGGAATAATTTTTATTTAGATCATGGTATACTTGTTTTATATATTTTGGAACAATTATTTTTTTTGGAGATCATGGTATGCTTGGTAGTACACAAAATTATATCATGTGGTATTGATATGTATGATGGTAAGATTAATTGTGCTTTTCGACGTCTACTTTGATACACTTTGGAATAATTTTTATTTAGATCATGGTATACTTGGTAGTACATAAGATTATATCATGTGGTATTGAAGTGTATCATGGTATTAATACAATAGGATGTACATATGTGATATATATTGTCCTAATTTTTTTTTACATAAATTTGTAGATCTAATAAATCACATGGAACTCGTTGTTTCAGGTTAAATTTCTTCAAAATTCGAGTTTTAAACGAAGGTGGTACCAAGGTGTACCAGAGTGGTCTGAGTTTTTTTCCCAGAATCTATTGCAAATGAAAATAAT